ACAGTTGAAAAGCAAGTAGTCAACTTTTTTGCAGGATTTCCAAAGAAATTACGCCACCCGTAACTCTGCTGGACAAGCAACACCCGCTCGTTCTATCATTTATGACAATTTATATAGTATTTTTAGGACTTACCTTCATATTTTTTACCTGTCAATTATTCCTCAATTTCAGGGGAGTTCAGAACAAGAATTGCAGATGCTCCAGAGGATGATGACAATTTGAAGCCTGAGGTTGTTGGTGGTCCTAGCCAGAATACTGCCCATACAAACACTGCAGACGATATGTTACGTACTGTGGATACCCAACCTTCAACAGCAGGTAATGTACGTTCCGAGGGAGTCTTTGCTGTCGGTGAACAAGATCAATCTCCCACTACAAGACGCAGATTAGAGACACCCCGTGTGTCAACAGCCGCCACATCCCCACCTGCAACAACAACAACACCTCTACCAGAAACACCTGCAACAACAACAGCACCATCAGCACCACCAGCACCAACAGCACCAACAGCACCAACAACACCAACAGCACCAACAGCACCACCAGCAACACCAGCACCACCAGCAACACCAGCACCACCAGCACGCGCATCGTAGCTCTTTCAACCTACCCAGGTAAGAGTAGCTTCGATGTTGCCTTTGCCATCGGCGGCTCAACAATGCATTGAGAACATCATGTTGCGTGTCTTGGACCGGGTGCAACAAACTCAAGCTTTGGAAAGGGACAACCACTTTCAGTCCTCTGTTCAGTATGGTCGGGAGGCCAATGCTGCATTACTTGCTCAAAGTAACAGGGAAACGGCAGGACTTTTTGATACGATCCTTCAGGATATGGCCAATCGAAACCAACCGGATCAAAATAATAATAATAATACTGATCAATAAAAATATATAATTTTGTTACAAACATTAATGGTTTATTGTTGAGAAGGTATATAGCGGTTGATGTTGTCCTTTCTAGTTCGACCATTCCGATAGACCGTGCTGTTGACTGACTGACTAGAACTATCCGGCCTAGCAGCAGGCTCATTGATCGTTACATCGTTCGGCTCATCGTCTACTAATTCCAGAACAGGGTCATTCATCTCAATACACAGATTGTGTAAAATACAACAAGCTGTGATAATACCCACAATATCGCGGGTATCCTTGATGTATATATGTTTGCTGACAAATCATCAGCGAGAAATCAGTTTACCAAAAGCTCTTTCAATGGCCATTCGAGTTGACGAATGGATCTTGTTGTACTTTGTTTTGGCCAAAGCATCATCAGATCTTCCAAGGACTTCCGAAGCAGGATAAGCCACAACTATATGGTGCGATAGTGGGTATGCCGAGTCTAAAACATATTTAGTTTTTTTCGAAGATTTTATTTACGCTTATATATTTTACCTGCAAGGATATACCCATTCAAAGGAAAGTATTCTTGGGGGTTTTCAAGGCAACTGTTGCTATCTCACTGAGGTTGCAAGCAGCAGCATCATGTGAACGACCTATGTCAAAACGATCAACATCATTGCATACAATCGGACTAATAAATTATTACCTGAATCACCAACGGAAAATTAAGTAAACTTACTCTTATCATCACATACTGCCGTAAGTTTCATGGCAAAGTCTCCCTTGCGATCCCTCCAATCCTCGGCATGTTCCGTTTTTGATTCAATTACAAAGTTCTAGCTGTCCAAAGCTCCAACAACTAGAAGACCCCAAATAGTGCGGCCTATACCATACTCGAAACCATGTTTGATTGCAGCGACACGCTGCTCGTCCTTGGGCCATTTGATAAGATGCTTGAATTTGTTAACAACGGCTTTTTCAAAACGTTGTGTAAAGTTTCTGTAACTACCGTGAGAGACTCCTATAGTCAAGTGGGCGCAGTGATAGCCAACGTGACAGTTAGGTAAGCGCCAAATTGCACATAAAATCTGGACTTATGAAGGGATAAAATTTACAGCTCTAGACTGAAAAGCGGGATCTCTGCATAGTTTGTTTACAACCCTTTCGAACGTAGTGCGGTTCATACGGTGCATGGCGTGATAGCAGGTTCGTGGATTGTCGTCATCAGTCAAAAAAGGGTGAGAGATGCGGAAGTAATGGTAGTTGGCGAATAAATGGCGATTGTTGACCGGCTCAGTTGGGTATGTTAAACGAGCTTGAATAAGAAAAGGCGTTACCTCAAAGAGAAAGGGCGAATCTAAAAACGTGGTCTTGTAATAAAGAAACAACTGTTCGTTCAATGCCATTTGACTCTCAATGAGCTGCAGGTATTCAGCGAAAACTAAGTTGCGATGGTTGCAAATAAGTTGGTAGTAGTAATATAATTTATCGTTGTAAGACATCTTTAGTATTAGTTATGAAAGAAAAGAATTCCCGCACAAAATGAGTGATGTGACTTTAGTACTTTTTCGAGGTAAAATGTATTTTAATGTCAGAAAACATTTTTTACAATTTGACCCGTCGATAGTGGTGGGGTCAAATATTTTTAACTAAAATCAAGATTTTAAAATTTTAAATAATTTGCTTGAGAACACCCAAAGGGTAGCAACTCGTGAACTGAATACGTGAACTGTATTATTATCCAGTAGTATTATTTGCCAAAACCGTCGTTTGTACTCGTCAGTATCGGTCAAATATTTCGACTGATTATTTAAAAAATCGGACGAATTTTTGGACCGCCACCGCTGGTCTAACGTTTTCAAAATCTTTTCAAAAATTGGACCGATAAAGAGTTTCACAGTGTGAAACATTTTTATTTAGGCATTGAAGCATAGTAATTCGGATATCAGAGAAAGTTACCATGGAGGGACGTGTCTAAATGATTATGTCAGTTTCTGCTTTTATTCGCGTAATAAATGTTACATATCTTTAGTATCAAATGTTATCGACAGCGGTAGTAAAGCTGTGAACTATATAGCAATGATTTCGATACTGATGCCTTTTCAATTTGGTATTGTTAAGTACTTACTTTTGTATAAATGTTTTGTGCCTTGACTAGTAGAGAATGTGTTAGAAATAACCAATATTGAACATGTATTTGCTTTACGTCTATTCAAAACAGCAATCAATGTATGATTACCTCAAGATTGTTGGGTATTAAACGCTAAACGTTCCAGTCAGTATGGATACTAAGAAATATGGTTTTTACTTTACCTTTGTATTAAACAAAGTAAAACCGAAAGAAAGAGAAAAAAAAAGGATGATGTAAAATGACATTCTAGAATAGTGTCAGAATTTAAGTCCGTCATGACATACATCCAGATATAAATACAGCCTACCATCTAGGGTTGTTTTAGCTCTGCCAACACTTCTCACTTTGAAAAGTAAAACCATGAACAGTAACCATCTACCTCATACAGGTGATATCCATCTAAGACCAAGCAATAACAGATCAGATATTACATGTCCTTGGTGTCCTCAAGATACAAGGCAAGCTTCATCGACTGCTTTTGCGAAGCACGTTTCCAGAAATCACCCAAATGAATTGGGATCGGTTACGTATTGGAAATTTCGCGATTGGAGACAAAACAGAATGTACGACATACATAAGTGTATATTTAATGCTGGTGGTGTGCGCTTTTTCTTCATTGTTTTTAAGGACCAAAGTGAGTTTTATTTTCTTCTGCTGCAAAGCTACATGTCTTTCTTGTACAGCCACACCCAATTAGGAACAATACAGTTCAAATATTATGCACGATTTTCGAAATTTTCTTTCCCTATTTTTTACATTTACATAAAAGATTACTTATTAATTTCAAAATGACCATTTCAGAACCATCTAACACAACCCACACAACATATTTAAAACGCGAAGAAAAAAATTATTGGGGCGTTTATTGGTTGCATAAGGTGAACTTCTCAATGAGTCGCATTTCAGAAGGGGTTGGCATTCCGAAGGCAACAGTGCAAGGCATCATTAAGAGAATTAAGGAAAGTAAATCACCCCTTCCTGAAAGACCAAAAGGAGCACCTAAAAAAATGAATGACAGCGATCTAAGACGGTTAGAAGCCATAACAAGACGCGAGCCGTTTGCGTCTTACGATAAAATAAACGTTCAAATTAAACTTCACCATATTGACATTTGCAGAGCTACTTTGATACATTATTTGAGACAAATAGGCTTTGGTTCTTACTTCGCAGCATATAAGCCAAGGCTAACCGAAGTTCACAAGAAAAAAAGACTTCGACGGGCGAAGGAACGGGTTCATTGGACCACCGAACAATGGAGAGGTGTTGTCTGGTCGGACGAGTCGCGATTTACGGTCGAAGACAATGATGGTGGTGTCAGAGTTCTTCGTAAGGTTGGTGAGAGGTATGAGAAAGATCATATTGTCGAAACAACCAAGTGGGGTAAGGGAAGCGTCATGATTTGGAGCTGTTTTTGGGCCGGTGGTTTTGGGCCTTTAGTCTTCATTGATGGCAATGTAGATCAGACGGCGTACGTCAACATGTTGGCGTCAAAGTTTCACCCTTGGTTTACTGAACTGTGTGAGAAGGAGGACAGGGATTTTATATTCCAAGAGGACGGTGCCAGTTGCCATACTGGAGCTTACACAACGTGGTGGAAGAACACACATTCAATCAGACGCTTTCATTACTGGCCCGCTCAAAGCCCTGATTTGAATCCGATTGAGCATATTTGGCATTCACTTGAGGCTCTTATAAGTGATAAAAGGGCCCGTATTAACAATGTTGATGATTTGAGGGCATGTTTAGAAGTAGCATGGAATGATATCAGCATCGATCTGGCTACTCGATTAATTGACAGTATGCCAGACCGATGTCGAGCTGTCATTGAAGCTAAAGGAGGGGCAACAAGATTTTGATTTTTTTTTTTTACATTTTGTTAAAGTATCCAAGTCAAGTAACAATTGAATATACTTTCATCATGATTGAGCGAGTTTCAGATAGTCAAAAGTGCATCTTAAAATATGTCTCAATTTTCGGCATTACAAAAATTTAAAAATCGTATTGCTCCTAATTTGGTGTGGCTGTATCCCTAAGATTCGTCTTTTCTTTTCCATATTTTCTTCTTCTTTTTGTTTCTTTCTTTTTTAATATCCTTTTTTTGACTTTCTTCAAAAAATTCTTTTGCTATTTGCAGGCGTTTGGTTCCACTTTTTATTCCTTTTCCAAAGGGTCTGCCTTTTCTATTGGAATTAGGTGTAGGAGATTTCAACTGATCTATTTTGATAGCAGGATTTAAAATTTTATCAGTAGCTTCTTCTAAAACAGTCAATGCATCTGCTATTTGTTGCTGCGTAGAGAAGTCTGCAATTGCAGAATACATTTTGTGAAGGACCTGCGCAACTTTCAACATTAGTCGTATTCTATCACTTCGATAACACAAGTGATCGTCTGAATATGACATTTTGTTATTGTAGTTAAAGAATTGTTAGCGTACCTTATTAAGTTCATTACCCAACAAAAAGTTGTAATCGTATTTCCGGTTCTTCTTTCTACGGGTTCTAATTTATAAATGTTATTATTTACTATATTTTTTTTTGGTACATATTTCATACAGTCTTAATGCTATGACATATCATCACTCATGTGAGAGACAATGAACTTACCTTCCCTATTTTGCTTTTGTTCGAACTTTTCATTATCCGGAAGTAGTATGAAACTGTAATCATTATTTTTTTCTCATCACTGACTGATAAGACTGAAACAACATCATTTTCATCATCATGTTGGACAGACGTTTCTTCTGTTTTGGGATCTATATAAAAAGTTGCTTTACGAAACATACATTAACAATTAGCATAAACTATGCTTAATACAAGATTTATTTAAATACTCATGGATTCAAGACAAATTATTGGAACTATATAGTATATACTACCCATCCTTCTCTATACACAAACACACACTCATATTGACAAACCCTTTGTAATTTAACTTACTATCTTTCTCTTCCTTCTCCTCATCCGTCTTATCTAAGCTATACTTATCTTCTAATCCATCAAATCTAGTAATGATATTTAAGTATGTGTGGAATCTTATAAAAATATTCACTTACTTACAGTACATCAAATTCAAGTCTCCAGCGCTTATCGACTACTTCGAGAGAGAGAACATTCGAATTTGCATCAGTTACACAGGGACAAGGCAGCTTGTAATTGAAACGATCAGCACAGTTACAGTTCTCTCCTCTTGTTACAAATTCAGTTCGAAGAGAATAGATTGTGTTTTCTCTTATTTTGTCCATTGCAAAACGAACGACTTTGAACTTCAACGTTTCGTATCCGTATTCCAGGTCTTTGTCAAAGACGTTAGCATCAATGCTAATTCTTTCATTACCCATCTTTCGATAAAGTTCATCTCTATAAAAAAGTGGGATAACGTGAGCATATGCATCATATGATGGGTTTCTTTTTTTCTTTTAACAATCAAAAACTGCTTACTTTCGTCTGATAGTATGCATGCATACGTCCTGTGGTCATGGCTAATTTTGCCTCAGATTCGTTTCCCTGAGCCGTTTTTAATCAGGAGTGGAAGCTCTCTGCTCTTGCTGACGTACGATTTCCCATATGAGAAAACTGGTTGGCATAAAAACCAACCCAGTGGTTCTTTTCGTCTTCTTCAAGCAAACTGTATAAATGCTCAATTAAGATATGGTTCAAAGGGGGTTTTACCTACCTTGTAACTGACTATCGAATTATATATAACTAACTTCAGATTTACGCACCCAATACAAAGTGGTTTAAATGTATAGGGTACTCGAGAGTATGATTAAGAATGAAGAGATAATTTATTTATTAATAGAAAAATAGAACTTTTGTTATATCACCAGTGACACCACGTACGACATTCACGTATACTAGGGATGTAAGAGGGTCATGATCGCAAACCCCTCTACACACCCCTCTACCCCTGATGCTCTGTGACTTGCTTGCTTACTACGGAGGTTCTATACCCTGTCTGCCACAATATAATGTACCAATCACGATTATAAATCACAAGCTTACACGTCTTTCAAATAAATCAAGGCCGGTGTACCATTGTCTTTGAAGCAGTCAGTTTCGGTAACTATCTGCTCAAATTTGGAAAAATCATCGAGGTATTGTTGTTCCTTATTGCTTCTGACAATAGCTTTAAACTGTTCTTTAGCAAGGCAACGACGGTATCTGTATTCCACGGCATTTACTTCTCCAATTGGAAGTTTAATTTTATATTATTCCATAAGTACCAAGAACACAAAAGATGGTGGCTTTCTGGAAGAACATTATCAATAGCATTTCTTAATGCTCTTTTGTTATCTGTAACAAATACATTTGGAAGCTCGTAATCGTTTTCCTCGGCCCAGATAGCATTTCTTAATTCCTCAAGAACCTTACGTATATGCGGCTTCCGTCTCAGCATTTACGAAAGCTGCAGCCACAGGGTATGTTTGTAATCTATTTGTACCTCTTACTGAGGACACATTACTCGTTCCAACAATGTTGATCAACGGAAAAATTGTGTGCGTTTGGTTTGTATGTCGCGTCAATAGTGATTGCTTCCGGCCATCTTTTTGTCTCGTATATAGCATCTTTATGAATAAAAAAAAACGCTTTTGACTTTTTGATCTGGCTTAACCTGGATTCGAACAACATATCCAACATCTTCCAAATGGGTGATTAAAGAATACATTTCTTTCCCATCCTCATTTTTCAAGAACACGGTTTGGATGTTTTGAAAATCCTTTTTGATCATGTTGTGGATACCCAAGGCATTCAATGTCTAAAAAATCAGTCTGTAAAAATGATTTAATTGTTTGTAGATGATTCGATGCTTACATCCGTAACGCTGGTTACAGGATCCTTATGGCCACTAGCCAAATGCTATAGATACGTTCCATGATCTTTGGACTCTGTTTGCGATTGATAGCGTAAGTTGCGAAATCCTGCGAAATGGGATGGTTGTGTTCCATTTGGGATCTAGTGATTGTGAAGTTGTATAACTTGATAAAAGCGGGACGCTTGAGTTTTTGGGTGGTTTTTTTATATTTTTTTTTTAAAATCCTCGTCTTTCTCTTCGCTTTTGTCGCCGGAATCTTCGACTGTAGTAGGGGAATTCAACAAAATATGTTTATCACCACCGTGTTTGCATATATAATGGAAGTCTCCATTCGCAGGATGAGAATTGGCAATAGAAAATATGAAATTAAATTTGTTTCCAAAATCTCGAATAGACTTTTTAAATCGTCTCTCGTTTCAAAATGTTGTCCGACGCAAAATTGAACACTGAATTCAGAATGCATTTCGTCGCGAGTGCTTCTTGATTGAGAGAACATTCTTTGAGTTTATTACATATGTCAAGGTTAATGTTAATACAATTATAGTTCTAATAAGAAAAGGAAGGAAGCTGTCAAAAACTCTCAGTCCTTTATAAATTTACAAAACGGTGCCTGAAAGTACATTAAAGAGATTGACGTGAACATTTTCAATTTTCCTGTCGGTATTTTAATGACTACGTGAAAAAAAAATTACTACGTGCAATTTCTACGTGTACCAGCAATTAACCAAAAATAATCGAATTAAACTGTGTTTTTCAACACTTCCTTTTTTTTGTTAGTTTAATTCTGATTATAATGCGAAAGCAACTTAGCGAAGACACCTGAAACAACGTCAAGTACCTTATATTGAAAAGAAAGACAACTAAAGATACTGTTCAATCCACAGGAGTGTCAAGTGCTCAAGTCATCCTAATGAATAATCAAGATGATCCCGAACGCGTAAAGCCAGTTTGTCGAAGACCCAGTCTTATATCCAAATAGACAAAGCAAGTTGTTTTTTTTTGAAGTTCGAAGGGGATATTTAGCAAACACAAAAGGTGTTCGGAAGTACCTGATGTTACGGACAGAACAGAAACAAGACACAGAAAACTACTTGGCCACCAGAGGGGGCGATCGGTTAGAACAAAGTACGTTTATTATTAAGAGAGGGAGGGGGTTACGACTAAGATTCAGAATAACGTTTTTCTAATAGCGTGCCACCAAGCTTAAACCTGATAAATTTCAAATTTGTTTCAAAATTTTTTTTTGGCAATTGCGATGTTGGTGATGAGTTTTTTTTGTTTTTTTTTTTTTTTTTTTTTTTTTTTTTTTTTTTTTGGCAAGAGTACCCTACAACCCTTGACATTAGGCAAAAAATAAAAGAAAGTTCAGCATTGAAGGTCAAATGAATGCTAATTTATGTGTATTTATAAAAAAAATATTCTATTCATGGTCTAAGTCCGAAGGGATTCTAACCTTTCTGTGGGAAAGGTACTTTTTCTCCGCAAATTTTTTCACGGTCTGCACCACTTCCCGACCGTCACTACACTTGCTGTAGGCTTCAATGTATTCAGTTGCACGCCGAAAGTATCTTCTAATTCTGGCAATGCTTCCTGCCTTATCCAAAAATGCATCCATGTTGCTATCCAAAGACTTGAAAGTGTAATCGCATTGGAGGCGAGCCTCCCGCTTTGCTCCACCCCAGTACATTTCGATCCAATTACACGCACAGTGGTACTTTGGATATAGTTCGAAGATGTGGCCGGCATCTTCTACTACTTCTTGGAGTGCAGATTTTTGATTACAAAAATCTGGGCGAGAACCCAAGAAGTGACGAGCGCAACAGATCTTATCAGAAGATATCTCGGGCGAACCACAATCCAACTTCCACGCTTTGCCATTGATGTCATGACCAATCCACTGATTTCTCTCCTCCAAGATAGTTTTGATTCCCTTGAAGTACCGTACAGTTTTGTACTTAGTACGGCCTTTCGTATCTCTACTGGTATCTACCTTGTCATAAAAGAAGGACTGCTCCAAAACCTCTCCACTTGTTAAATTAAAAACAGTATCATGAAACTGAAACTTGCTCTTAATTGGCCACACTCGATTCTTCAAAGCTATTCTGTTGACCACAAGAGCTTCATCGGAATAAGCTCAGTGGTTGGAGCTACTGTATTGTCAAAAAGAAATACTGCTTTTCAACCTGGATGCAATGCATCAAAGAGACCGATGACATTCTCCTCCAATTGTTCCACCATGTGCTTGTAGGTCCACCAACCGTCTCTGCTATCACCTGCCTGAAACTTCGTTCTTGACGACCAATTTGCAATCTTCATGGTACTATGACAGGGACACTGGAACTCACTGATCATAATTGAAAACCAGGTCCCTTCTTGCGAATATGGTTCTCACCATCCTCCAGCCAAAGATTGTTTTTACCATCATTGGCGTAAAACGTGCTTTAATCCTGTGTTACGAAAACAAGCTTTTTGTCACCGTCTTCTAACGTTGGCTTTAAGATATTCTCTTCATTTTCCCCAGTATAAAAATCCATTTTCTCCATGTACCCCATCATTCTACTGACCAGATATCTCTGTATGCAACCACATCCTCACGTTCATGACCATCAAAATAGATCATTTTCTTGTTCTTTCTATAGGCGTATCCCCATTCGTACAGGTACTTGCTAATTGCTGTTTCAGCAACAGATCTATTAGCAACACCCAAAAAAGAAGGAACAACAACATCATCAATAAGTTTCTTAATTACAACCAAGGATCGCTCAGCTGGCTTGGTCTTTCTCATCTCTTCAAGGATCACCATCTTAACATCTGAATCATTAAGAAAAGACTTTCTCTTGTTATGAACGCCTTGACAATGGTCAGAAAGTTTGCCTTCCTGCAAAAATTCATTAGACCACTTGATAATTGTCATAGCCCGATAAGCGACGTTATTATCATGCCAAAACTGTTTTGCCGCACTGCGTGAAGCTTGGCCATTGTTCATTCCTTCGAGTCTTCTGATAAAATAACAGTTGCATGAAGAATAGCGAACAAAATTGTACGCCAAAACCTTACTATTTTTGTTTGACTTATTCATGATAGGCTTAAGTAAATCCTGCAGTTGTAAAAATACTTCGTTGATTTGGATCAATTCCTTTCGACTACGGCTCAAAACAACCTCATGCTGTGTAGCAGCAACGGCGACAGGTACAAAACCGAAATGGGTTAACTTAGAACGATCATCAATCATACTGGATTCTTTTTTATTTCTCCATAATGTAGTTCTTGAAGTACCAGTGTAAGTTTTAGGACGACTGGATTGTCCGGTGATATCGACAAGAATTTTATTCATAGAATTCTTATCAATCGAAGTATCATTATGGCTTTCAGCTAAAGAATGCAATTCATCGACGATTGTTGTGTTATCAATAGACATTTCTTCCCAATCATTAACATCAACAGATCCGGTCATAAATACACCTTCTTCGTTTTTATTTTTATTAGCGTAAGCGCGTTTTCTCGCGTTGAGTGGGGGCATAATGTAATAAAGTATACAGAGATAACTGAAAAGAACTTTTGTGACGCTTTCTTAGAAATGTCAAAGTACTGATTGTTAATGAACATGTATGATTGGGTAACACGATAAATATTTGATCGCGGAGATCAACTATAAGAAACTTTT